GTTGCGACGGAGGCGTCTAGGCCCTGTGACTGCAGCCCACCATCTGCAGGCCGTCCTGTCGCAGGAAGAGCATTTTGAACAAACACCTCATGATTCTGCATGATATTGATTCTGGCATCACCACCAGCTGTGGCGCTGATGATTCTGATTATCATCAACTTGGACAATGATCTACCATGACACGTGGGAATGTCCCATCTTCCATCCTCCAGCAGCAAACACGGCGCTCCTTGCGTTTCTCCTCACGCTCCGTCACCAAGCGAGACACATGATTCAAAACATTCATCATGAAGATCAAAGACACACCAGCCTTAGATCCGTCACGGATGCTTGGGAGGACGAAAAAAAGGGTGGACTTCTCAGCTCGGTCGCCACGGTCGGCGTGGCTTGGGAGGGCTTCAGCCACGCAGACAATCAGACCACCGGGACAAAGCAACATCGGATGAGCATGAGCAGCAGGGAAGCCCTGCATGAGGCACGAGGGCAAGGAGCAAGATGGGTGTGCAATTCTTAATATAGGGAGAACCCCCAGCCACCCCAGCCCAATGGGTATTCCGGTCTACTAGGGGCTCCTGGCCGTGCTACTAGGAGCAAGGACGCTACTAGGGGCTCCTGGCATCGCTACAATTACAAGGAACAAGGATGCTACTAGGGGCTCCTGGCCATGCTACTATTGTCCTTCTGCCGGTCTATTGTCCTAGGTCGGTTGGAGGCCATCGCTCTTAGATGACACCGAAGTGAGTTGATGGAGTCGAGGAGAAGACAAATCCGAGTCGACCTCGCTCAACAGAACTCCCCGTGTCAGTCAGACTGGACACCATCGAGACTGGAAGATCTGTATGCCTTGGATCTATCCTGTTACCAGTAGCAGCGGACGATGATGGTTAGTAGAGGCCTTTCTCTAGAATAATAGTGTTAATTTAAATACTGACTTTTACCGGTAATAGGACTGACCCAATGTAACGCCGCCATTGAGCCCTCACTCGTTTACCACTCCTGGCCCTCTCCGAAAAAGGCGTGGGAGATGAATGCATGCTAAAAGCTAGAAATTTGGCACCCCCAAGAAGGATTATAACCAATCTTACTCGCGCATTGCGCGCAACACCAGGTTTTCCGCGCCGCGAGCAAATAGATCTCCCAGGAGCTCCCACGACGTTTCCAACGTACTCGCCTGCAAGAATCTTAGAAGCGCAAAAGATTGCAAAAGGATGTAACACCTTTTGGGCGAGTCTGGGTGGAACATCTTGCTTCTTCTTTCCTCTTGACATCAGTGCAAGACTTGAGGGTAGAGATGTCCGTCTTACATCTTAAGCCTTAGGTGCAAGGAAATCAACCACAGAGCTTTTGTACAACCACCTGCCGTTTTCAACAGGTCTCCATATCTCGGCCTGCTGCGTTGGCCGTCCCGGGCCGAGAAGGATCCAACGGCTTCATTTGAGGGAAAGGCAAGACCATCATTTCAGCAGAGGCTGCCCCGGAGTGTCCTGTGCCGAGTCGAGACTCGGATCGCGGAGCAGAAGAAGGTTTGTTTTTGGCCGGAGTTCTTCTCCGACCCGGCCATATGGCCCACACACACACCCCAAAAAAAAAGGAAGAGAGAACACAGAACAAATAAGAAAGGAACACCGTTGAACACCGCCAGTCCTGTCCTGCAGGATGTGTTTGAACGTTCACTTGTCACGAAGGCGCGGTCGAAAGTCGAATCCGGACAGAGTTCTACTCGACGTCGAGGAACTCACGTCTTTCTGTCCTGCATAAGGGTAACCAAATTTTCCTTCCAAGGACTTCTTCCAAATCGCGAAGTCGCCCACCATCACCTCCAAGGCCATGGCCACGCTGCCTCCACTGGCATACCTCGAAAGTTCGAAAACCCAAAAACAGCCCCAGTGGTCCCGACAACAGAGCTCATGTTCGATTTGAGAAGTCCATCTTGTTCCACAGATCCTTCACCAAAAAAAATGATTTCTCTTTGGAGCCTCGCCTCACACCATCAAACCCAGTCAACACTCCAACCTGCTGTCTGAGCGTCGAAAAGTCTTCCTCATGGTGCCCTGCCATGTACATCGGCCGCGTGTCGCCGCCTGAGCTCGGGCCCTTTGGACCCCGACCCGTTCGTCGCTCAGCTTCGCTTCGCACGCAGCTTCGCACGCACTCCCCGCCCGACCGGTCCCGACCCGAGCGTCGTCGCACGGTCGCCCAAGGTGCGGAACATCGCCTCGCACATCCAGCTGTTGGCCCCCATGCAGCGCTTCTTGGTGAGGCCGGCGTCCTCCGCGACGCTTAGTGTGGCGCTGTTCTTCGGAGTACCGGGCGTTGGTCCGAAGGAAAAGAGAGACCAGGAGGAAAAGGAGGAGAGTGAGATCATGGTGCTTTTTTGTGTGGCTTTTCGTGATGGCAGCTTTCTGCAGCTTTTGGGGGATGTCATGGCAGTCCCGATGAAAATGAGAACTAGGATGTGGTCTTGACTGATTGATTACCCTCAACATCCCCTATGTAAACCATTAGGCATTAGGGCCTCTTTTTACTGCTCACACACCCTTTTAGGCGGTGACTTTCACTGAGACATTCTGTCTTCCTCCAAATTCCATCCCAGCCATAGCCTCAAGTTCTGCCAAGGTGCGCGGTTTCTGTTCTGGTAAGGATAGAACTTCCCGTCCCTCAGCGCGCAGCCCGTCCCTGCATGAGGATGTGACCCCCAAAAAACATTAATTGCATTGGCTGGAGGCCATTAGATCCATTACATTCCATGACCCTTAGATCTCAGCACATTCCCCCTCAGATCTCTGCGCTAAATGGATCGCATGCCGCTACAGACTGCAGACTCCGGTCTCGTTCGAGCCCAAACCGCCGTCCAGGGTGCTCGTTCACACGTCCGATCGTCCGGTTCAAGTGCAAGGTGAAGTCCTCTGGCCCGGCGTTGGGCGCCCATTGCACCTGAGACAGGCAAGACGGTCGGCCAAGCGACGCGACATCGACGAATGCACCGAACGAAAGAGGATTCGATGGTTGTCACAAGAATGAGCCAATACATGGAGATGAACCGTTTAAATCAGCAGACACATGACGTGAGAACAGAATCCATTGCATAAGGCCATTGTTCGTGAGTCCGACTTCTGAGGTGAGCAGTGTGATCAGCACATCCGATTGCCCGGAGTCCGCAGGCCATTGGGAGCACCGAACCGTCGATTCCGAGTAAGGCTCCGGAGAAAGCAAGGCAACCGGCTCCGTACAACGACACCAAGCGATGGGCGGCTCTGGCCGGATCGGATCGGATCCAAGCAGCTCTGGCACAGTGAGGGCCGTATGAACCGCCTTCGTTCACCATCAGGCGGCTCCTTAAGTCGACGACGGCGCCCTTTAGAAGTCATGGGGTCACATGGATCAAGGCATCGCGGCCTCCAACGGCCTCCACCCTAGTGACAACTTATAGCTAAATACAACTTAGTAAGCTAGGTAGGTGGATGGATAGATCTTTCTCTACATGCCTGCATGAGAGGGAGGGAGGGAGGGAGGGACAGCCAAACAAGAAGTGTGCAAACAAACGTTTGTGTGTTTGTGGGCGCAATTGTACGCGCTTAACACGCGGAAAAAGCGCCACCGCTAACAGAAGCCTTAGGTGTATAGAAACATGACTGAGTAGTTGCTCGAGCCGTCCAAGAACAAAAACCCACAAAACCCTTTGTCAAACCAGCCGTCTATGAATGTGCCAGTGTGGATATCTGCACATCTAACAGCTGGGGCATTTCGTTGATGAGCCTCTTTAGTCTCTTCAATAGGGCTCTTCACTCTCAGTCAACATCTGACCCTCTCGCTTGGACCCTGGAAGCAACAGAAATACACCCGCCATTAGGTTGGAGGCCAT